ACAGAGAGACACACAGAGAAGGGAGGGGAAGGGGGAAAGTTCTCTCTTTCTCCCTACTCATGAGGAGCATCATCCCTGCACCATCCCTGCTTCCATCCCTGCATCCATCCCTAGCAATATCCAGGATTGTTTTAGGGAACTGTCGTTGAGGCCGTTGAGGGTTTAGGGACAGGTAGAGTTGTGGAGGTCAGGAAGGCACCAAAGGGCCAGGTGCCCCAGAGGGACAGAGGAAGAGTGTGTCAGATTAGCCATACAACAGTAGGGTGGTTGCCATGAGGCAGAGCTGACAGTGATGAGAGCAGGGGCAGTGCACGGAAGATCTACCTTCAAAGTTGCTTGTGAGCCTGCTCTACTTTTTGCAAAAGGGAACTTGAAAAGAAGTCTCTCCTTCAAGGAGAAGTCAAGCCGTGCCACAGCAGGTTTCCACTAGGGAAACTTCAGGAAAGGCTTGAAGATTCTGTGAAGACCAGAGGAAATGTCAAGGAGACTTGGCAGCAGAGTGTTTCAGCAGGGGATGCACCCAACCTTGATTGTGGGCATCAAAGTGGCACAGAATTCCTCAAGGATCAGGATGAAGTCTTTGAATGGGGAGAAAAATGCATGCACCTTTGGCACACCGGTAAGTATAAGTGCGTGTTCATTGAAACAACAGTATTTCTTGAACTCTTTCTCAGCGCCAGGAATTGTGCTAGGAGGTGGAGAATCAAAGGTAAGTGAGACCCAAACCCTAGTCTGAAAGAACTCATGGGACAAGGATGATACACATGAATTTGACATCAAGACATCCCTGTGAACCACTCCCTAGACCTTACTGCACCCTCTAGCCAATAACTGGGTATGCAGTGTTTGCATCTAAGTAGTCTAGGTGAGGTTTTTATTTTTGTTTTGTTGTTGTTATTGTTTTGTCTTTTCCCTAGTGTTTTGTTTGATGGGAGAACAATGGAGGCATGTGCACCCAAGAGGGCAGCTCTATAAAGAGACTCTGAGATCTCTAGTTCAGAATGTGTAGGAAGCACACAGATCACTGGGTGGACTCACTCCTTTACCTAAGTTTCATGTTGGGCTCTTGGAATGTGGCAATAAGGAACCTTGCCTTTTCTCTAAAGCTCTTACAACTCACAGAAACTGGAGACATAAAAATTGGGCTTTGAGAATACTTTTTCTAAAAGGTGTGAGGTCCTAAATAGCATCTTTTAGGATTAATTGAAAGAGATCCTATTTCTGTTTACTTAAGGAAGATTCTGAGGAATAAAACAGCCCTAAGGGTATTATTTTGGAGATAGAAGGGATCAGACTTAAGGGCCGTGCTAAATAGATCCTTTGCAGGCCTAGAAAAGGACAAAAGATGGACACAGAGCCATGAACAGGGCATGTGCCTAAAGGAGACTGTGGCTCCCCAGTATGCTCTGCTCTAGAGTGGTATGCTACCCTCTGCAGGGATTTGACTAGGGGTCCAAAGACATTCATGCAGCTAGAGATGGCACTTCTGTGAGAGAACAGTGAGAGGAGGCTCTTCCTCCTGAAAAGATCAGGGCCTCTGGAGGTACAAGCAACATCTGCACACCTCAAAATGGGCATGGAGAGTGAGGACAGTTATTGTCATCAAAGCTAATGTGTTTTCTCTTTGAACACTTGGAATGATAAATTCAGGAGGAGAACAAAGAAGATGTACTACCAGTAATTAAAAAAACAAACAAAAAACCTGTTGCTGTTGAGTCGATTCCAACTCATAGCGGCCTTATCACTACCAGTAATAGTATATGGGAAACTACTTCCCACCCTCACAGCAGTGCTAAGAGGTGACTTAGGAGGCCTAACCTCCCTCTCCATCTTTAATATGGACAATTGACATTTTCTCCGTCTATAATGAAGTGCGAGGCACATGATCTTCTGGGCAAGTCCCCTCGACCTCCTTCCCTCCTAGTCTGCCACTCTAAGCCCTACTATACTGAAATGTGGAAACCACCACTAAAACAGTGACTAACGTTTCTGTACTTCTTTTCCCCACAAAAGCTGGTCCAGGCTGGAATACGTTCTAAAAGGATTTATATCAGCTTACTGCAAACAGCACCAAATGAGTTGTGATGGAGGAAACCAGGAGTTTTCAGAAACGTGCAGAACAGAGCAGTCTGGAGAAAGAAACGCAATGAAGTGATCAAGGTTGCCAAACATGCTTAACCTCGATCAGCTATTCATTCCAGGATGTAATGGTATACACGTTAAGAATGATTTTGCTTGAAGCATGAGGATTCATACAGTGCCATCGGTGTATGATGGACAAAAGATAGAAATAGCTCCCTGCCTTTGACGTCTTTGCTCAGGTGCAGCATTTCTTTTTCTCCAAGAAACCCCAGCCTGTCCCAGCTTATTTAAAATAAGTAGCCTTTTTGGAAATCATTTGTGGAAAAAGACGAAGGCCTGAGGGCTGAGGGTCTCCCGTCTCAGTTCAGATTTGGCAGCAGCCCAATGCCATCTCTTATCTCCAAATAATCAGTCACCAGGAAAACAGCGTCCTGTTGAGCTCCAGCGTGATTAGTTATTGCTTGGCTTGTCTCACCAGCTTGAATCTGGGATAGCTAATCTGAACCATGGATCTGGAAAAACTGTTCATCTAAATTACTCTGATCCACAGGTAATTCTGACTATCCTGCTCCTTGCCCCTTGATGCATCTTCTGTTTCCATAGCAGCTAAGACCTCAGTAAAATGGAAACATCTGGCCAAGGCTCAGGTAAAAGTCCCTTGGGGGAATGAATCTGCTCAGCTGCCACAATGAGGGGAAAAAGACTCAAAGATACAACAGCATGAAAATCAGAAAAATAAATGGAAGAGGGATAAAACACAAGACAAAAGAGACAAAAAGTAATAGCAAGGAACGGAGGGAGAGAACAAAAAGAAAAAGTGGAAATAAATGGAATTAAAACAGACATTTAGGAGGCTGTAAGAGAAAGGGGAAATACAGAACAAAAAGAGAAAACAAAATGGCGAGGCAAAAGGAAAAGATGTATGGAGGAGAAGGGAAAAAACACCAGAAAAAAGACAAAGTTGAGTGGCCAAAGGAGGAAATGAGAAAAGACATCAAACAGGAGACGAAGTGAGGCCTGTGAGAGTGAAGGGGACACCATGCCTCTTGAAACAGGTCAGGTAAGTCAGCCCCAGAGGATAAATCTCCACAGATTCTCATTGCACAGACTGCTCCAGCATCCAGGAGCACTGGGGCTTGGCATTGAATGGTATAAACCCCAGACTGAGAAAGCCTGCCATGTTGAGGGTCTGTTCCTCAGATGTCCCCGGGCTGTTCTCTGTCAATAATTACCTCATGCACAGCTGAAGGTCCCTCCCGGATTTTGGACCTATCCACATGTAAGGCCATTTCAAATGGAGAGATTGGCAGATACCCATATAACTCTCTTTGATCTTTTTGCTCATAGTAGCAGTGTCCGGAATAGTGGCTTAGGACAGCTCCCAGGAATTGAAGCCAACACGCCTTCTCTGAGAACTTCTACCAGAACAAACTGTCACTGACTTTGAACATACTCACCATAAGGCTCTGCCACCTCCAGAAATGGAAGACACAAGCCCCAGGAGATGCTGTGCCGCTGGTGAACAGTCCTCTGCTGCCAGCCTCCAGGAGGATGTCTCCTCTGAAGAGGTGCCCTGGTCCAAGGCCACCTCTTTCTAGGGGCGCCCAAATTCAGTGACTGCTGTGGTCGTTCAAAGGCCCAGCCCCCTTACCCCAATGGAGGACATTTCTGAACTGCCCACAGGGTCAGCTGAGATGTCCCATTGAACTGCACTGCAACTCAACTTCTCCCTCCATCCAGTCCTGCTTCCTTCCTATTCCTTTCACAGGGGTAGATTCCAGGAGCACTCCCTAATAAACTTCTCCCATGCCAACCACCTTCTCAGGGGCCACTTCTCAGGAACCCCATCTGTAACACCAAGCAAACAGCCACCGCTCTGGTTCCTTTAGAACCTTAAACCTGCACTACTCAGAAATATATCTACCTACTCACATATACACACTCATGTTTGCCTACATGCATACATACAAGCATACATTTCTCACTAACCAGTAATAAACAATGAAATGAAGGGCCTTTATTCACGTCTCCGCTCAAATTTCACCGTTTCAGAGGCCTTTCTTGACCAAATGTCTTGTCCTCCTGTCAGCATATATTGCTCTATTTTCTCACGTTTATCACTACCTGATATGTTGTATATTCACTTTCATCACCTGTCTCATGAGATGTGAGCTCCTCAGAATGGTAATGTGTCTCTTTTGTTTATTGTGATATCCCTAGTGCCCAGAAAAGTGCCTGGACTATTACTGTAAGCATTCAAGAAGTATTTGAGTATGAATGAAACAATTTAATGGACCTTACTCCCAAATAAAAGCTGGTTTAAAGATAAATATCCTCTTGCCTTAAATTCTAAAGGTTTTGTCAAACAACACATAGTTTGGTCTATATAATATTTTCCAATTTAGTCACACATTAAGTTTTGTTTGTTATCTAGGACCAATTAGAGTAAAATAACAACAACAAAACCACCAAAACAACTAATGAAATAGCAACCAGATTTCTCTCATTGCTGAAGAGGCCCAGACTTGGAAATTCCCCTTTTAGGAATATGGCCATTTAGAGCTTTCATCCACCATTACGTGTGTTTTCTTTCTTTTAAAACACACAGCTGAACAATGCCACCAAAACTAGTTATTCTACCATCAGACTTGACATTGAAAGTACACCCTAAATATTTCACCCAAAGACAACTGAGATTAATTTACCAGAAATTGGCGAGACCCCAAAGAATAATTTCTGCAATCCTAGAGAATATGCCTGCATTGTTGAGAACACCAATTCTCTCTGCAGAGCCACAAGTACATTAGCAGGCTGCCAAAAATGTATGACCCCTTGCACACAGTCACCAGTGCCCCGACCTCCCAGCCATGGCCAACACATTTCCTCTCATGACACACACACCAAACTCCCTCCCTTACCTTTGGGGGAGATGTGTCTCCAGGTAACCGTAGGCTCTGGTCTACCTGTTGCTATGCAGGTGAGGCTGATATTGTTCCCTTCATTAATGGAGATATCTGAAGAAATCTCTACAATTTTGGGAGATACTGTGGAGACAAAACAAGAAGATAAAAAATCCTACTGAAGCATTTCTTTGTTGTCTTAAAATGGCAATTGTCAGAATAACCAGAGACTGAAATATATGGACTATAGGAGTTAATGATGAGAAATTAGAGGAATTGTCTTAAACATGAAAGCAATATCTTATCTTGAATTTAGCTTCTACATCCTCCCACTTAAACACAAAGTCAGTGAGTCTGAATGAGTCTAAATCTCACTGCAATTCTGCAATAACTATTCTCCTTGCCTCCACCGCCTCCACTCTCACCCCCACCCTCCCGACACACATCCACAATTAGTCCTCCACGCTGCTTTTGAAGTCTTATTTATATAATGCAATTCTAATCATATCACATCTCTGCCTGAACACCTCCGGTTGCTCCTTATTGCACACCTGATAAATCCAAGCTTCTTATCGTAGCATACTAGGCCATTCAGAACCAAGCATCAACTTACATTTCCATTGACATTCCCAGGGATTCTATGTCTACCCACCCTCCATACTATCCCCAACACACCCTGCACTTCCTTGTCATCATGCTTTTAGATCTATATTGTTCCTTATGCTCTTCCTTCACAACCTGATTGATGGCTGCTTCTTCATCCACACTCCCATTATAGACACCTGATGGGGAATGGAAAGGTATGTCAGTCAGCCATTACACACTTGGTCTCTCTTTCTCTGTTTGCTAAATTACTCCCTCAAAGGAGGGGAGGGGTTAATTCTAATTTGTAAATTTGGGTGCAAGAACCCTCCACACACCTGCTTCCTTGCTTCTTTGAGTCTTTTGCTTTAGAGCCAGCTTTCCCATATGAAGCCAACATTCGGCTGTGCTCCTCCACGCACCTGTTTTCCTGGGACAGCATCCCATGGAGTGTGGTGAATGTCCTGCTGCCCAGTCTGTGTGTGTGTGCGTCTGTCTAATCCTGGAGGTCACAATTAGAAGTTCACTCTTGTTGCACTCCTAAGTCTAAGTCTCTGGTCTCAGCTTTACCATCAGTAAATGTGATGTTTGGCTTTCCACGTGCCTATTCATTTGTTTTATCTGCCAGTTGCTTTAGAATTCACATGGATAAAGGAATCTGTAATTTACTGTTCCCTCACTCCAATTCTGGGCACTCACCCTACTCTGTTATGATTATTTGCTTAGCATCTCTTGCCCACTAGACCATGAGTTTTTGACCACCTGAACTGTGTCCAATTCACATTTATATCCATAGTGAGGGCTCAACAAATATTTATTGGATTTAATTATAATGCATATTCAAGGGAGCCACCTTCCCAACCTCTACACGCCTGTAACAAACTCAGAGTTGTATCATAAACACAAATTATTTCAGTCCTAATGGCACTGATTTTGACACACTAACTCTTTGCAAATTAAGTGGCCCCTCTACCTGGGAGTGATGCGTTCCTATACGTCAGGGTCTCCCCTTGAAGAAGTGGTCCTCAGAGCCACTACTGTGCATGATTTCAGGGCATACTCTCCACCCAGCCCACATGTGAGCTGGCCCGCTGGGGAGCCAGGGAAGCTGCTCATGGAGTTTACTCCCTCTTCCCAGGCCAGAGTGTGACACTCACACTAAACCAGATGCCTAGAGACTTCAATGCTGGTCTTTCCTGTATGTGAACTATTACTCATTCACTCCCAATTGTACTGGACCTTCTCCTCCCCGGGACTGGGTGTATCATGCAGATATCTTCTCTTAGTCTTCTTTTCTTTCCCTCTCTTTCCTATTTTTCTTCCACTTCTCTCCTTTCCTCAGCTCAGGTGGACCACTCATTATTAATAAATGTATGTTGCATTTTTTTTTTCTTCAACTCTATGCTCGTGCTGCTGTGTTAGGTTCTTAGACCTCTTCTCTCCAACTACTCATACTTGGAATTCTTCAAGGTCTGGTTTAATTATCACCCCTTCCATAAAGCCTTCCAGGTGATCCTCAGGATGTAACCTCCACTTCTTGGAATTCCATCAAATGTAGTACCTCCATTATGGCATTTAAAATAAACTTCCTTAGGTTATCTTTGTATTATCTTTTCTTCTATGCTGTAAATTATCTGAATATAAGATATTAAGCAAGAGTCTGACTAGCCTTTTTATTTTCTGCTCTCCTGGATAGGGTGACTTGCACAGAGTAAGTACCAATTAATTATGTTTAGATTTTAATCCACATACATCTTTGGATAGAGAGGCTCTGTGTGTGTGCGTGTGTGTGCACTTGAAAACACACTTGTACTCTCACAGGTATTTGGTGAGATAGAAAAAATGGAGAGTGGATGTGGTGGGGGTAGGGGAGAGATCATTGATTCTAAGATCTGGGATTTCTAAGATGTAGCATTACAATTTATGGTTGTATGATTTTAAAAGTTATATTGGACATTCCAGGACAGAAAGATAATGGCAAGTTAACGACTGAGTATTAGATTTGCTGTCTGAAGGATTTAAATTTCTGAATTTCTTAGTTCTAGAATCATTTAAAATGATATTTGTAAAAATAAACACTCAATTTACTTTGACACAGTTTTAACTAGAGCAATCCCCTTCCATACCATCATGTCCCCAATCCCTACAGTTGTGTGGCCTCTGTTCCTGCCCATCCTTGGCAACCACCCAAGACTTGCTTGCATCTCAGAGAACAGGCTGCCTGCAGAACGTCTGTGCTGATCTTGCAGACATTGCTTCAACCGTAAAGGTAAGTAATTTATTGATCTGTAAAGCACTCTAAGATGCTCTGCAAGGGAGGATTATGTCACACCGATGCCATGCAATAAAATAAAAAATGATGGACTTTGTGAACACAGGGTGATTTAGGGTTTGTAGCTGGAAGCGTGCTTAAAGTACATTTTAAGTGGAAATCAGGCTGGGTAATGAATTACTCTTGCTTTGGGAGTTCATTTTCCTGGCTTCTTACATGATAGCTAACCTGCTAATCATACACTTGAGAACAATGGATAGTCCCCAAGTAGAATGCAAGGTGGTATGGGCCAGAGCTGTCAGCCAAGTAAGTATATTAAATGAGACAATCATACCTCATGCTTGGAAGAATCATCTAGAAATCCCCCCACCCCCCAACAATTGAAAAGTGTCCAACTCAAGAAGTTGAAGTTGGGAAAATGCTTGCTGTCATTTCAATCCTGCCTTTGACTACAGCTCAAAGTTGGCACACTGCCCAGGGTGGATTTGAAAGGATGACCATTTATGGCACAGCGCTAAGGTAGTTTGAACAGAGGTGCAATCCCAGTTACCAGATGTAAATTGACATAGCACATAAAATACTAGGGAACTAAACCTTGGTCAAGTTACTTAACTAATGTGAGCCTCATTTTTCTCATCTATTAAATGGAATTAATAATCATAGGTACCTCATAGGGTTCTTTTGAAGATTTAAATGTAAGTTTATAAAATTCACTTAGAGCATTCCTGGCAATACAAAGTGCTCAGTAAATTAATATTGTGCATGATTGGCAAACACGGTCAATAAATTTTAACCGACTCAGTGAAAAACAGGATAAAAGGTCAACGTGGGAGGTTAGAGCCAGATTATGGAGAAGCCTGAATGGCGAGGTCCTGGATTTTAACTCTTTTCTATAGATAATGACAGGCAGTTGACATTTTTTTCAGAAAAACATGCCACAATTTTTTTAAAAAATGTATTTTAATTAAAAGAATCCAGTAACAATATGCCAGATGGAGTGAAATGGACAGAAACTGGAGTCAGGGAAATCAATTGGTAGGACCGACATTAAAGGCCTGGATTAACTGTTGGCCTTGTAAGGATGGAAAGAAAGAGATGGCTTTGAGTGCCATACAAATAAAAATGCAGGTGTAGTTGGTGGTTAACCAGATGTGGGAACAAGGGGAATGGAGTCAAATATGAATGCCATTTTGTTCAACAGCAGCTGGACAACCATGCTAGCAGATCCCTGAATACAATAAGGGGCACTTCTTTTGAGAAGAACATTAGTTTGATTAGTTCTGTTTTAGACACACTCATTGGGAGATGATAGAGACATCTAGATAGAAATATCCTGTTAGCAATTGGAGTTATATGACTGAAGATCTGAAGCTAGATCTATTCTGAGAACACAGATTGGAAAGTAAAGTGCAGACGGCAGAGACCTCAAGCCCTAAAAGTAAATGAGAGTTTGTGGTTCCTTTAAGGGGCCATCTGACTGTTCCTACAGACATGTGTGCAAAGTCTCTGCTGGCTTCTGAGGTCTGAATCTAGAAAACACATCATCCATGGGGTCAAGAAGATCAAGAAAAGGTTAGGACATGTTTGGGGAGTAAGAGAGTAGCTGAATGAGCTATACACTGGACACAGCTCCACATTTAATACATGATGTTAAGATTTTATCTATTATTAGATTTTAATTCCAATCTGTAAATAATTAAATAAGATAATTATTAAAACCATATTCCAGGGAACTTCCACACTCTTGGTTCAGCTTCTACTGCCCAGGTATTAAGTTTTAATAATTATGTCATTAATAAATACCAATTTGCTGTTTTTAGCACAATAGTAGATGATCCCATTAAATCTAAATTAAAATGCTTTATTAGTACTGCAGGGCTCTCTGGGTGAGAACGCACCGAAGCTGCACTCTGTGAGACACATGGAGATATGTGAATCCCAGATGAGCTGCCTTTGCTGCCGGTGGTGCTTCTTCTGATCTCTGAGGTGAGAATCTGAGGTGCCCACACAAGTCAACTCAGGACAGTTTTCCCAGTAACGGCTGCTTTGCTGCTAAGGTCTGGGGACCTTTGTCTTTTTAGAATTAAAATGTCAAAGCTGGGTGCTCTCAGCTTTCCTGGGTGTCAGGCCCTGCAAACAGTCCATGGCTGGTACATAAAAGCTCAACTTATATCAGAAAACTTAAAAACACAGCCAAGTAGACATTGCTGTGTAGATGAACGCATCTTTTCCCATTGGCCACTGTTTACTCAGGCAAAATCTAGTGCAAAATAGAGTTGTCTGGGAATAG